AAAACATCACCCCAAAATCCACAAAAATGTCCCCAAAATATCACGCCAAAATCCCCCAAAATCACCCCAAAATCACTCCCAAATCCCCCAAAACAGCTCCGAGGCCTGGGGGGCACCAGGGTGGCACAATCCCCCAAAATCACCCCAAAATATCACCCCAAAATCCCCCAAAATCACCCCAAAATCACCCCCAAATCCCCCAAAACATCACCCCAAAATCCACTAAAATCTCCCCAAAATATCACCCCAAAATCCTCCCAAAAAATTCCCCCAAAAAATCACACCAAAATCCCCCAAAACATCACCCCAAAATCCACAAAAATGTCCCCCAAAAATCATCCCAAAATCTGCCCAAAAATTACCCCAAAATCCCCCCAAAAATTAACCCAAAAATTCCCCCAACCTCCCCCAAAAAATTACCCAAAATCTCCCAAAAAAAACTCCCAAAATCCCCCCAAAAAATCACTCTAAAATCTCCCAAAATCCTCCCAAAAAATTCCCCCAAAAAATCACACCAAAATCCCCCAAAAAAATCACCCCAAAATCTCCCAAAAAAAACCCCAAAATTCCCCAAAATTCCCCCAAAAATCACTCAAAAATCTCCCAAAATTCCCCCCAAAAAATCACCCCAAAAAATCACCCCAAAAATCCCCCAACTCCTCCGAAAATCCCCCAAAAAAATCAAACCAAAACAGCCCAAAAATTCACCCCGAAATGTCCCAAAATGCCCCCCCAAAAAATCACCCCAGAGTCTCCCCAAAAAAAACCCCAAAATTCCCCAAAATCCCCCCAAAACATCCCAAAAGGCCACTCCAAAATCTCCCAAAAAATGCCTGAAAATCTCCCCAAAACTCCCCAAATCAACCAAAATTACCCAAAATCTCCCCAAAATCCCCCCAAAATATCCCAAAAGGTCACTCTAAAATCTCCTAAAAAATCCCCCAAAATCTCCCCAAAACTCCCCAAATCAACCAAAATTACCCAAAAATCTCCCCAAAACCTCCCCAAAATTCCCCAAAAACCACCCCAAAATTCCCAAAAACCTCCCCAAAATTCCCAAAAACCACCCCAAAATTCCCCAAAACCTCCCCAAAATTCCCAAAAACCACACCAAAATTCCCAAAAATCACCCCAAAATTCCCCAAAACCTCCCCAAAATTCCCAAAAACCTCCCCAAAATTCCCAAAAATAACCCAAAAATCTCCCCAAAACC